CACAACCACATACTCTTATCCTTTTTAGGTGGACATGTGGCCTCTTGAAATAAAGATATCTCCCAGTCCCAGCTAGGTATGGCCTCGTGACTAATGGCCAGTTAGACATAAGCAGAAATGCTGTGTGCAACTTTAGGAAGTGTGTTTAAGAGGAGGAAGTGCATTATTTTCTATCTTCCTTTCATGCTGGACGTTGTATAATTTGATGGTTACAGCCTGGCAGTCAGCATGGGCCATGAAATGAAAGCCACATATTGAGGACATCGAAACAATAAGAAACTAAGAAGCTAGGCACAGTGACTCATGACTGCAATCCCCGCACTTTGGGAGGCCAAGGTGGGAGGACTGCTTGAGCTCAGGAGTTTGAGAGCAGCCTGGGCAACAACTGCAAGACCACATCTCTACAAGAAAAAAAAAAATTTAGAAACTAGCTGAGCACGGTGGCATGTACCTGTAGTTGCAGCTATTCTAGAGGCTGAGATGGAAGGATCACCTGAGTCCAGGAGTTAGAAGCTGCAGTGAGTCATGACGGTGCCACTGCACTCCACCCTGGGTGACAGAGTGAGACCTCAACTCAAAAACAAACAAGCAAAAGACACCTAGAGTTTTCATGCCCTCCCCAAGCTGCCTGTACTTGTGGGAGAACAAAAGCCTGTCTTATTTGAACCACTGCTATTTGTGCTACATGCAGGTGGACCTAATCCTTACTCTCAAAGAGTTTAAGACTTCCCCGGGTCACACAGTGAGTAGCTGGCAGAGCCAGGATCCAAATGCTGGCAGATTTACCCCAGAACCCACAAGACCATTCGGGGGAGTGGGTCTGCCCCATTTCAAGGGTCTTACAGAGGGGGCACAGCACAAGGGACTACAGTCATGGGCTCCAGGCAGCACCAAGAAGCCAAGGAAGCATGTGAGGGAGGCAGAGAAAGGACCAAGAGGACAACTTGAGGGGAGAGGATAAGCTTCCTTTATATTCTGCATCCCCCTTTCCAACTGTAATATGAGGGGGAAGCATGAAGCAGGGAGACAAAAGCCAGTATTTGGGTTAAAGTACAGCCATGATGGGCTTCTACTATCTTTTTAATCCAGTGGATATATCTGTTGATTCCTATGATAATTTCATGCTTTTATAATTTTGTAGCTTTGTCCTATTTTAGGAGATCTGGTGTGATTTTAGATTTATGTACCCTCTGCCTCTAGACTCTTGGGAACAGAAGCTCTCAGGAAAGGCCCCATGTTCTGTTTTCAAGACCTAGGTTTCTCAGCTTCAGTCGCCTGGTGAGATGTGGGCCTGGGAGACAGCAAGTACCACAAGAGAGCTCAGCAGCCCATCCGCCCATTTAATGGAAACCGCGTGCATGTCTGCAGAGCCCTATAGACCCCTGGGGAAAGGAGGATCTGTTCAATAAACAGGGCTGGGACAAATGGTTACACACACAGAAAAACAAAATTAAGTCCCTACGAAATAAATCATAAAAATGAATTTCAGATGAATTAAAAATCCTTAAAATAAAAAGTTAAGCTTTTAGAAAACCTTGAGGGCCAGGCTCGGTGGCTCAGCCTGTAATCCCATGATTTGGGAGGCTGAGGTGAGTGGACTGCCTGAACCTGCGGGTTCAAGACCCGCCTGGGTAACTTGGCGAGACCTCACCTCTACAATAAATCAAAAAATTAGCTGGGCGTGGTAGTGCGTGCCTGTAGTTCCAGCTAC